TATATATATATATATATATATATATATATATATATATATATATATATATATATCTTCTCTCTCTCACCATAAGGGGGCCATACAGTATAACACCTAAATAAGGAGGGATAGGCTTTCAGAATTAAAGCCCATTTCGAAATCAAGCTTATATTACTCTGTTAGACTTAAAACTGCTACGAAAGGAACAACAAAGCTGAATTTACCTGATTCAATTAGTACATTTCTAACAGCAATTCTAAAATCAAGTTTAGAAACCTTGATTCTGGCGAGACTCTGAAGTTCCTGGCTGCCTTATCTGCAGCCTTTATATTTTCCTCCTCAGCTGCTAGGAAGGAAAAATGTGGGCGGATCATGTCACTACTTTACGGTTTTAAAGGAACTCTTTTTTGCTTGTTTTACTTTCACTGTCTTACTTTCAAAGGGACTGGACAAAGAAATCTAATGAGAGAGTGGATTCAGAGGAAAGAGGGGGAAATGGAATACTTTTATGTGTCCTTTTTTCTGGTGACAATTTTAGGTAAGGAGCACAATTTATTCAGTTTTAAGAGAGAGTTGTTTTTTTGTTTTGTTTTTTTTTTTGGAAGGATGTACTTAAAACAGCCCTTTGTTTTTTACTAAGGTTTATTCATAGAGCAACTTCCTACAAAGTTGAAGTTTTTCGAAAAATCAGTTAAATGTGTCACCAAAACCATAAGCACAGTAAAAGCTTTCTTGATGTTGTAATGGGATCATATTCCAATCCTTTTAAAATCACATTGAAAAAACGAGGTTGCATATTCCTGCTGTTTAACTTTGTGTTGTTTAAAACCATGAACCATGTATCTATTTATATTTGAATGGCTGTCTTATAAGGTTTGCAGAACAAAAAGCATAACAAGAGTAGTATTCAGCAAGATATAATTAAATGTGGTGAGCTTGCCAAGTAGTAACAACGCACGGTAAAAAGTCTACACATGGTTTTATGTAACTAGCTCTTCCAGATTTCCCCTATCGTAAACCTTAGTGTAAAAGTGGCACACAAGTTTTATACAAGTCTTTCATGCAAAAAATTTGTATATGTATGTATTTTGTGGCTAAATATTAGAAATATTAGGTTTTATTTTTTTAAACAAATTTGTATATCCTCACACAAAAATCCATTTTCTGGCCCCATATCAGTATCTAATGGGAACAATGTGGTATTTTGTGCTAAAAACATTTTTTTTCTCACAAAAGCAAACATTAAAAAGGCAAAAGAAACACATAAACAAAATGCTAACAATAAGAATAATATTCAGGCTGTCAGAGAATTCCCTCAATATGCTATGGAATGGAGGATGGAAGATAAGACGTGTGAATAAGGGGTAAGCCATCAATAACCAGTGAGTGGCCATTTGAACTTAAACTGCCATAAGTAAAGGCAGATAAATAGGTTCAGTAACATGGCTTAATTTTGCTCTTAGCTGCAGAACTCTCAGGTCCATAAGATAATCCTCACTGACAAAATGCTGTTAGAGAGTGACAGAGCATGAAGGCAGGATCATAACATTTTCAATGTCAAACTGAGTTTTTCATGTTTTTTCTGTTTACAGCGGTTCTCCAGCAAACAAAACAAGGTGAGATTTTGTTCTAACCTGTAGTTTGATGATAAATTGTTTATATTATTTATAAAAGTGGATTAGAATGGCTCAAGGGTTTTACACCTGCATTTTAAGGTAAATGCTACAGTGTTCTAAGCTGTTAAACTGGGAGTATTTCCTGTTGTAAAATCAGAGAGCTGAAAATCATTCCATGATAGGGTTTAAAAAAGGATGCCTTATTTGTTTAATGTCACCAAGACAAGTTTAACTATCAGTTTTGCCGTGAACATGAGCAGATCACAGAGTTGACTGAGAAACCAGGTCAAAATGTAAATGTGCATCTAATTTCAGCCTGTGAGGAGAATAAATCTGAAATTATATTGTCATCAATAAAACCAGGTAAAGAGCCGATGCTGATAGATTAAAGAGACAATATGTAAGTTTTTACTGAAATAATATAGTTAAAACAGCCTTTTTTATTTCACTCTTTATGTCTCAAATATTGTTTGATGACCAGATTGAAACCTCAATAGATCAGCATTGATCTATCTATAAGTCTGTAGCCTATTTTC